TTATTCCTGCTGGGAACACGATGGGCGGTGTCAATGTCATACATCGATACATCAGCTCCCGTTTCTTTAAAAATGTTTAGGCAAAGCTTGCTTATCGAGGCTGCGGATTCATCTTGCAGCCTCTCAGGCACTCCCACAATTTTTACATTATACTGGAAACTATATTCTTGAATTTCGTCAATAGCATTTCCAATAATATCTACCTTGGCTTTCAGCTCTTCGAGTTTGGTGCTTAGTCGCTAGAGTTCGTCTTTAGCCATGCCGCTAAAGAGATGGAAGTCGTCGTATTTATTGCTCAAGAACTCTACACATTGGGCACCTTCTTTGCTGGGCAGAACTTCTTCACTTCTGTCGCTATGTCGCTGTATCAACTCCTTCAATCTAGCTACCTCGTCCGACATTGACGATAGTTGCGCTTTAAGTATGCTATTCTCCTTCTTCAAAGCCGCAACTGACCCAGGCATTGCACAGTGGTTATATGAAAGGACACACAATAAAAATAGAATACAAAAATAAGAAAAAACAAAAAACATAAAGAAACTTAGCGGAGCTCAAAAATCACAGCCCCCTTGACCAACATCCGCTGAGCTTTTAGACCAGGATATCGAAGACGTCGATGAGTTCGTGTACTTAGGGGCCAAAGTTTGTAGAGAGGGTGGTGGTATGAAGGACTTGAAAAACAGGTTATCAAAAGTCAGAGGTGCCTTTAACAGACTAAAGAAGATCTGGATCTCTAATAACATCCTGAGGAAAACAAAACTGAGGCTGTATAAAACTCTAGTAGTGCCAGTGTTACTCTATGAATCTGAGACATGGAAGATGAACAAAGGAGATGATAAAGCAGTGAATGTATTCCATAATAGGTGCCTACGAAGGATCCTCCGAATCCGATGGCAAGACCATGTCAGGACCAAAGAGCTACTGGAAACGGCAGGCATGAGGCCACTGAGTGCGTAAGTGATGTCTCGTAGATGGAAAGAGATTGGTCATATTCTTAGGATAGATCGTAATAATGATTGCAATGTGGCTATGAGCTGGGCGCCAGAAGGTAAAAGGACAAGGGGAAGACCAAAAACCACTTGGAGATGTACAGTAGAGAAAGAAAGGCAAGAGGCGAGTTGGAGGTCGTGGGAGGAGGTGCGGACAGCAGCAATCAATCGAGAGGAGTGGAAAAGCTCTGTGAAGGCCCTATGTGCCAAGAGGCATGAAAAGGATTAATGATGATGATTTATGTAACAAAAACTACAAATTAATAAGTTCCAACAGTGTGGTATTACATTTGCTTGTTGTTTACAGTTGGAGTAGCTATTTAATTCCTCATTACTTATCCAAGAGCTTTTGGGAAATAATAAAATTGATGTTATTCATTTCTTACTTTGCACAATTTGTAACTTTTAGACCCTACAGCTTAATGAGTAAAGACATACATGTATGCTTTTCAAAGATCTAAATAGATCCTTTTGACTGAAATGTTTGTGGTCTTATGATAAAGACACAGTGGTAATAAATAAAACTTTATTGAATTTAAGGGATGAAAATCATCACATTTCAGAAATACTTCTTAAGTTAAACTGAGATAACTAAAAGGTTTCAAATTAACAACAGTTACACTAATAAATCAAGCGAACAAATATTCTGCCAATGACCTCCTAATATTAAGCTCCAGTCATTGAGTTCCAGCAGCCTATAACACTGACAGTATTCTGCATTGTAAGAAGCAGTAATTATCAAGTGCTCAGGAGAAGAGAGTGATGTATATTGAATACACATTACTGTAATTTGTGAACACATACTGTACAGAGTAGCATAAGTTATAATATTAGTTGTGACTGTTATCAGCATGTACAGAAAAAATTCAGCATCAAACCTGTCTAGACCTCTTGTACGAAAATGTCCATAACTACTCATATTTGGTATTTCAGGCAAATAAATTAAGTGATATGCTACATAGAAGCAGTTCTTATAGCTATTTCCATTTCAATTTGAAAATGTGTACAGGGTTTAAAATGTATCACATTTCAGTTAGGTTGATGAAGAATATACACCTGTTTTGCCTGTTCTTCAGAATGGTAAATCTCTGTTATCCAAGAAAGTGTGTTCCTGTTAAATTAATAAATGTACCATGATATTAATATTAACCTTTTGAATGAATACATGAAACTTGTTGGAAGATGAAGCAGGACACTCCAGGCTCATATGACATCTGCTTGAGTTGTTGAAAAAGCAGTCACTGTCACTGAGAATGTTCTTTTACTGAACTTTCTTCACTTGGTAAATAACAGCTCACCAATCAGTGTCACCCTTTAAGGAGTTCAAACCCCATAATAATGTACTTTAGCCCTGGAACCAGGGAACCATTATGTACAAACACCTCAATGTAATTGTCCATTTAGTACATATATTGTACAGTAGCATATCACGTGACAGAAATATTAAATATGAATAAACACTAAATTCAATCTCACCTTAGCTAGCATCATTCGTTTGCCTTCCATGAATGCCAAATCACTGAGATTCTTCTGCCGCAACACATTTCCATCATCATCTGTCAAATTAGATACAATGGCTTACATACAAAGTCATGTATTAGAGACTAAAAGCAGACCTTGTTTATCTCAACACTGAGAGAAATGTCTGATAGCATAATGACATGACTGAGCTTTGTCATGGACTGGATAAAATACTAAAAATGAATGAAATGGAATGTGGATTATCACAGACATAAGATAATAGTGCTAAAGGAGTCAAATAATTAAAATTGCCAGCATCATTCTTTGAGAAAAAAATCCCTTACCTGGGCTGCTGTCTTGTTTAACCTCAGAATAAAATAAATCTAAGGCTTCTGCTGTACATTGCTTAGCTCTTTCTTTGAATTCTTCAAAGCTATCATGTACTCTAAATAAATTGATAGAAGTGAATTACATTAAAATCTCAAATGAAAAGACCATTATGAAAACATTTCATGCAAGAAGAGAACTTTATTGCTATGTTTTATGCTACATTTCATGGCTGACGGTGAGCTCGTCTGAGCTACAATTAGCGCGATTTCTTATCGAATCACGTACCTGTGTACCGACAAATTTATAATGCTTTGTGGTTGAATGGTGAGTCGAAAGTAGAACTATTTTGAGAATTGGAGGAACCATTAGAATTAATTTTTAAGATTCTAATGCACCGGAAACAGCTGCATAAATCATATTATTATACATTCTTTTGCGTCATTCCTACAGACGATGGATTTTATATATGTAGCAGTGACTTCATACCTGCAGACAATAGTTTTATGTGCTCTTGTCTTTACAAGTGCAGCTCAGGAATATGCATAATAAAACAATTGCAGATTATTATCTTATGGATCATAGCTTACATTTTTTTTTATGGTAATTATTTATTCTAGGGACTTGTCCAACAACCAAATAAAGAATTTGTCTTCAGGAGTTTTTACCGGCCATCATTTCTCTCCATTTTCTTCTCTGACTCTGTAAGTAAGACTCCTAAACTTTGATTTAATATTTGTTTAAAGAAAACTAAAGTAGATCAAGGTCTAAAACTTACACAGGTAAGTGTCTTGATGACATCAGAGGAGGTTAGGGTGGATAGATGCCGCACTAACTTCTCTTATACCCATAAGATGCTGCTTACAGAAATGACAGCGAGGAATATGTGGCGAAAACCACCAAACGACGTAGAATTAGAATCCACCCTTCTCTCTGCCATAAGAAATACATTGTTTCTATAATCGTGCACACCGTAAAAGTGAGGACATCATGAAAAATTACCCGTCCATGAGTGTGATCATCCGCGTGAAGAGAAGCATCGAAAGAAATATGTCATCTTCTGAGACAAACGTTCCGTGAACTTGGATGGGAAGTGAACCGGAATCAAGTACATATCGTCACGCCTTATTTGATTGAATAGAGTTCTGCCCTTTAAACGATGATCTGAGCTGACTGGCCTACGGGCACAGGAAAAATATTAGTCATTTAGCTCTGGATACCACTGATGAGCAGCAACTGGACTTAATTAGTCTGTTTATTCCCTGGAAGAATACAAATCCTATGTCAATCCAACAAGACTCTGTTGAAGCGTTAACATCCTTGGATCAGCGTTTTCACCTAATGCTTTTTAGAAACCATTCAAACGGACACAACGTGTCT